AACTCAGAATGCTGCTTCTAAATGCAGTGTAAGGCCATATTCATCTTTCCAGCATTAAGTCATTCATTCATGCCACCCCCAGCCACAGTTCAGCCTCTCAAAGATGTCATTCTCAGTGCTAAAACTACATCAGTCCTTAGGGATCTAGGAGTCATTGTTAACTCGATTATGTAAGTGGCTTGTTCTTGTAAATGACTTGGGGTTATCAGCAATGACAGAGGTCACTTTGGGATTTTTAAGAGTTTTGAACAGCTGTTACCCAGCATGGTGCTAAAGCTCTGGACTTCATTCTAGGAGCCACTCTAAAGCTGCTGCTGTTTTGCAGCTTTATCACCCACCCCCCCCCCCCCCCCCCACACACACACACACCTGCTGCTGTTCTGTGTGGCTGCAATTGCAGCCTGGGTACTTGTGCCTGTAGTCACTCAGCCTCCTAAAGCCTTGACTCTCTGGAGACTCTCCACTTTTGCTTTCTTTGTTCACGCTTCCTTAGCTCTGGTCCTAAGTTCACCCTGGACTGTGGAACAGACTGTATTCTAGTTACAGCGTTGGTTGTCTACTAGAGCAGGTCATCTTCTGGGACTTTAGCAGGCTAGTTGGGGCAAGGTAGGGAGACGCTGGCCTTTCATTTCTGCTGCTTCTCATCTGTGTCCGAGTCTAGATTATATGTGGTTTTTCTAAATATAATTGACTGGTGCTTCATGCTCAGAGTAGGGGATGCTCAGAGTGAAACTGCCCAACTGTCCTCAGCAGAGGTCTCTTCCAGCTTAGAGTTAGAATCAAGCCCAGGGCCTCATGTATACCAGGGAGTGGCCATTAAACTGTACCTTACCATTTCTTAAGTCTCGCAGTAGGTTCTGTTGTTAACTTCTGTGTGTGAAGAGTACAGCAGGCTGGGGTGGTGCTTGCTTAGCGTTCACAAGAGCCTGGCCCCATCCTCATTTCCCAGTAAATGAGTATGCTGGTGCAGACTCCCAGGACTTGGCGGGTCTGGGATGATTAATTGAAGGTTATCCTCAGCTTCATAGGGAGTTTGAGGCTATCCTCGACTACATAAGCACCTGTCTCTTAAACAAAACAAAGCACAACACACATATACAAAGAAGAAAGTAGTTTTTAATTCAAAGGACAGCCTCTGAGGATCTGTGCATTTTGATTATACTCTGGTCCACATAAATTTTCTGTTCTCATTTATAATGAGACTTAGTTAATAAAATCCACTCTGTGTTCATTGCTTTGAGGTACTTATATCCAGTGTCTTAGGTGAGCCAGACACAAGTGCCATCTCTCAGTGCTCTCAGCCATGGCTGCGCCTGGGTTCCAGGAAGTGCTTGCCTGTCAGTCCCCACTGTCCGGTATTTCTGCGCTTCATTCAGTCTCTCAGCTGACTATTTCTGAGAACCAGTAGCTTCCCTCAACACCAAGAAACACCTCCAACCCCTCAGGTCAGTCAGCCATTTAAAGAGGCCTAGATGGACCAGTGGCAGGGACTTGGTAGTCTCCCATTTTGACCAGGTCACAGGTGCTGTTGGAGGTTTTCCTCCTTTAGACATCCAACCCTTGTCAGGGCGCTTCATAAAAAAACCCTTCCTGCTTACATGTTTTGGGAATTTTTACTTTTGTGTGTGTGTGTGTGTGTGTGTGTGTGTGTGTGTGTGTGTGTGTGT